AACTGGTGAAACTCTTGGTGAATGGTGGTGAAACTGGTGAAATTTAATATAACAGCCAATCAGATTTTAGATAGTCATCAGTTTCACCAGCATTATTTAGTTTCACCAGAAACTATACGTAGAACCAAAAAAACTCATCGAATTTAATTAGGTGGTTATCGAGATATCTTTGCTCAAAGTTTTAAAAAATCTTAGTTGAGACTTTTTGAACTTTCTCAAGACTTTGAGCGAAGATATCTCGATAACCACCCGGTCAAATTTGACGAATTTTTTTTTTTTTTTTTTTTAATTCTATGAATGTATAGAATCAATAAAAAAAAAAAAAAAAACATCGAATTTAGTTAGGTTGTCAAAATATCTTCGCTCGAATTTGACTAGGTGATCGTCGAGATATCTTCGCTCAACGTCTTGGGAAAACATTCAAATATTAACTGTGATAAGGATTTTTGAAATTTTGAACGAAGATTTCTCGACAACCATCTAGTCAAATTTGATAAATTTTTTTTTTATTCTGATTCTACATATTCGTAGGATTAAAATAAAAAAAAAAATCAACGAATTTGACTAGGCGGTTGTTGAGCTAAAATCTTAAGAAATCAAAATATTAACTGTGGTAAGATTCTTTGAAACGATATCTCGTTATTCTGTACGTTCGTAGAATTAAAATTAAAAAAAAAAAAACTCATCGAATTGACTAGAAGATTGTCGAGATATCTTCGTTCAAAGTTCAAAAAAATATTGTCGCAGTTAATCTTTTGATGGATGTTTTTAGAATCAGAATAAAAAAATTTATGGAATTTAGTTAGGCGGCTAAGATATCTTTATGCAAATATTAAAACAATTCAAAAGTTAGGAACGTGAACCGACTTTCTTCGTTTTGACCGTTTTCTGACACGTTTCATCGTTTCCACATTGCTGGTAGCTCTCCCACCAAAAATTTTCCCGGAACGCGATTTTTGCCAATTAGATCGAAGGATGTAAAAATCAAAACAATTGAATTAAGCGAAAGATTTAAATCAATAAACCACATATTTAAGGTTAGGATTAAGGCCAAGAGAGGACATAATTTGTAACAAAATTTCTCAAGGAATTTTTTATTAGAGCGCAGAAGGAAATTTCATAGACAATATTTCGAGTTATTGGCGGTTTTTTTTTTAAAAAAAAAATGCGTGATTTTCACGTTACACCTGCTCCTTCGATCTAATTGGCTAAAAATCACGTTCCAGAAAATTTTTTGTGGGTGACACGACTAGTGTACGCACATGGTTTGTATATGCTTAGAGCGGTCTGTCTAATTCGTTATTATCTAAGAAATGGAACATGAACAATATATCACTAGTGGGTTTTGCCAACATTAAGTAACTATAGAAACGAAGATTCAAAAAAATATCTTGAAAGTAAATATTCAGATCTGAACTTTTTATAAATATGTAAGAATAAAGTTATAACTTGAAAATTTTGATTCTGAGATAACCAAATCGTGAATGAATATCAACAAAAATGAAAAGAACCGCATGACCAGCAAGATAACAAAAGCTGCCAACAACAGGAAATTCAGGAGAATCTAAATTAAGTTCAAATAGCAGGGACAGAAATTGCGTTACCGGTTCGGTTTTTTTTTATGGACTAATTTTCATTACATTTAAAGGTACGTAATTCTCAAAAGAAACGCACGTTAATTAAATGCCTTTTGCGTGATTAACTTTAAAATGAATTACAAGAGTTTATTTAGTAAAGAAACAGACAAAAATACATAAAAGTAAGTACATACGTTAATGGAACATGGCAAAGCGTCCATTAATGAAAAAATGGCAAAGATTAATAATAGCCACGTATATGCAGCATACAGTAATAAAAAATAACATTTTTTAAACCCTTTTTAATATAATAAATATGAAACAATGTAATATCATTTCCAATATTTTTATTTTGGAAAAGAAAAAAAGTATTTAAAAGAAAAAAAATGATTTCTATACATATATTACGTATGAATGTAAATTTTGCGAAAAAGAAAAAAAAAAAATCTATTTTAATAAAACAATCATTGTACATAAAAATTTCATAATACACATCCGAATTTATTGAAATTATACATGAGGATGAGAAAAAAAAAATGATAATCAAGGGATGTCTATTATCGACGATTGAATAAAAGAAGAAGAAAAAAAAAAGGGAAATTCAACCCACTCAATTGTCATTAATCCACTCAATTGTTGATCAATCAATCAATCAATTGTACCGATAATTTATTCCAGCATCCCAAGATTCTCTAATGCATTCCATCTCATCAAAGAAATCTACATATTTATAAGTTTTCAAAGTACCATCATCCAAATATTTTTCAATAATTTTAATACAATTAAAAGAAATTTCCGATTCCGGATTAATATAAATCGATAAAGGTTTTCTTTTCATACGTTTCCAAGTATCAAGAAAATTATCCAAGACTTCATTAGTAAATTCCCAATCAGCATAATCACTATCATAATATTCACCACCACCTAAATTTAAAGTTTTTAAAGATTTTGGAGCCTTATCAGCCAAAATGATAAATAATTTTTCAGCCCAAACCACCGAATCGGTAACAAATCTAATTCCTTCTAATTTAGAACAAGACAAAAAGAATTGATCAAGACAATCTAATATAGAATCATGGTACCATAAAGTAACAAAAGTAAGATTTTTACAAAGAGAAATAACATGAATATAATCCTTTAATTCTTTAACAGAAGCACGGGTTAAAGTACCCCAATGTATTCTAGTAAGATTAGGAGCTTTTGAAATTAAATGGGTATAAACGGAAAAGGGAGTGAAAAAATCATCAACATCAAAAACCTCAAGGTAAGGAAAGATAACGGATTCAAAAGATTTTCTATCATTAACTTCATCAAGTAAATTAAGTTTTAAAGAACGTAAATTAACCAAAGTAGCCAAAGAATCAGCAGGAATACATAATTTACCATGAAAATAAACATGTAATAAAGAATCAGCTTGAGAAGATAAAGCATCACCAATATGTTGAATATCAATATCATCGGAAGTAAGTTCAACATGTTGTAAAGCGTGTTGATTTTGAATTAAAGAAGCCAAACCATGATTTTGAGAATCAAATTTTCTTACAATTAATCTTTTAAGATTTCTACAAACTTGAGCCAGTTCAAAATAACTTCTAGAAGGAACGTCATGATAACAATCAAGTCTTTGAAGTTTATCAAAACAAGAATTAGCACCCGGAAAATACCAAATAGGAATTTCAGGAAGATGAAGTTGTTTAAGATTTGGACATTTGTTAATAAACATTTTGTAAAGTTCTTGTTCAATCAAAATCTTGACATATTGAGCATGTATTTCATCGTTTTCAATAGTCCAAGCCATAGCAGAACCGATCATTTCTATTTCGAAAGGAGTTAATATTCTAGTATATCTAACATAATCGAATAGAAGAGGTGGAGCCACTAAACGTTCTTTGTTTAATTTAACTCGACATTCATTTAATAAATCCATTGAAACTTCAGGAAGGGAAGCTATATGACATAATAGAACAGATTGTACAAAAGATTTTCCAAATCTCCTATTTTTAAAAGAAGAAAAAAGGAATTATTTTTTATAAATAGAAAAAAAAAAGAATACGAAAAATAAAAAATTAAAAAAATTACATATTAAAAAAAGAACTACCATGGGTTTCTCCAAATTATTGGAACAGCTATTTCACACCATAATCTATTTACTAATAAACAAGAAATCAAAGATTTGCCATCACGGGATAAATATTCAAAGATTTCGTTTAAACAATCTGCAGGGAGTTGTGCCATGTCAAGAAAAATCTATCAAAGGGGGTGTAAAGATTTATATTGTTAAAATTTAAATTTGTGCATATAAAGTTTTTATTTTTGATTATTATTATTATTATTATTATTATTAACGTTAATTCTTTTTAATATCTGTTTCTTTTCGTAACAGTAATGGTAAAAAAAACAATTGCAAAGCCACAATTGTATTTGACTAAATATAAACTTTGAATGACATCATAATAAAATCATTTGTACGAACTTACCGTGTACACCAACCAGTTACATAAAGAAAGAGGGTTATTTAAAAAAAAAAAAAAAAAAATTATTTTTTAAAAAATTGTAAAAAAAAAAAAAAAAAGAAAGAGACTCGTCTAGTTTTTGGATTTGATTTGCGTAATTGTTTTTCAATTTATACAAGGGGTACGTGTAACGTGTCATATGATGTTTGTGTAGTACGCACATAGATGGTCACAATAAAATTATTGGAACATTTTTAATCTTTGGGGTAAAGTCTACGATCGAAAATTGAACCCAAATCCAAAAATCTGAAAATTCGAAAATCCGTTGGGACAACTTTGAATAAATAAGACTTATTCCAAACATTGCCCAGCAAGAGTACATACAGTATATACAAGTGATTACACATATTTCAGTATTTATAAGTGTTAATTATCAGATATATGAATGCAAAACCAGCCTTGGATTTATCAGAGATTTATCAGATCTAATTCCGGTAGATTAGTCGGTTTGCCTTTTGCAACATTCACATCATTTAAATAATGATACCATACACTTTTAGAAATTTACTTTCAACTCAGACATATCGATATACGTACAACCTATCTATATATTACCGTTACGATAAGTGTGGGAGATTACGTATACGTAATTTGTAAGTTTAAACTGGACATAAACCGGGCATGGATTTCTTTATATAAGAGAATGAATGAATGAATGAATGAATGCTTTATTTATATAAAAGAAATATAATTATAAATATAAAACCGTTAATTACAGAAATGGTATTACGAAACTCAACACTTGTATTCAAATAAATTAAACAAAAAAAAAAAATCTTGTGAAATATAATTGACATATTGGTACAAAAATGAATGATAGAATCGTATTTACTATGTACTATGTGAAATGGTACAATATTTACTAATTACGTCACCTAGAATTTTCCTCCGTACGGATCTTTCTTTATACAAATACCATACGTTCTAACGTCTTCAGTTTTTGGTAATACCCAGTATTTACCAACTTTAATCAAAGTCTTGGGATTAACTCTATTCTGAAACATCACTAAATAAGATTCTCCTTCGTAACTAAATCTAGTAGCAAATTGTTCAGCAAGTTTAACATCAGGTGTTGTATAAACACCATTTTCAAATTCAAATTGAAGTTTCTTTTTATTGTTCAATTTACAACAAAAGCAACCCAAAAGGCAATTTAAAAATCCTTTTCTTGATTTATTCTTTCCTTTAATGTCATCATAACCCGCATTCGCCATCGACTTACCATTAATGCTACCAGTAGCATGATAAGAGACGGGCCATTCGTTTGGTGCAGAGTCAGTTTGTGATTTTCTACCTCTAACACCTAACCAAGTATTATTATATTCGTATTTATTTAAAACATTAACACTAATTCGTCTCCATCCACATGGTCTAGTATATTCTTCTTTTCCACGATTAAATGTTTGTGTATCCACAATATTTGTAAAATCATAATCGTATCCTGGATCTAAATGTTCGGAATTAATATATCCTATGGATTTACTACCTTCTCGTAATAAAACATTTAATTGAATAACCGAATGAGCTTCTATATTATACTGTGATAATGTGAGTTCATCCTTTAATATTTGTTTATCGAATATAAGTTCTTGTACAGAAGGAAGAATACCTTCACGTGAATAAATTAATTGTTTAAAACTTTTAATAGTGCAAGAAAGTAACGTATGAATACTAAGTTTCTTTTTAGAAGAAGATGTTTTAACAAAGATTTCTTTAACATCATTATTAGATGTTTTTAAAGAATTACTTTTAGGAAGTTTTGTAATGCTAGATGTCGGGATTGGACCAATCTGCATATGAGATTGATAAATGTCAACTTCGTAAAAGCTCGAATCAGAATTATCCTTTTGGCCTTTATAATCGTCATGTGTAATGACAGTAGATCCTGAAATCGCGGTTAAAGCTGCTGCAAGAAGGGATTGGGATTGTGTATGGGTTTTTCGTGTCATTTTCTACTGTAATTACTATAAGTTGCGAATAATTTAAATTATCAAAATTTATTTATTCGCAGACAACAAGAAGAAAAAATGAAGAAATGAGAGAAAATGAAGATTGAAGGTTGCTAAATCGTTCCAGTGTGTGAATTTATAAAAAAATGGGTTCTTATTAACGTTAAAGAATTATTAAAGATGTACATTATATTATTGGTAATAAAAATGCACATGATATTATCGATCATTTTATTTCCAAACTTGATTGTCAAATGACTAGCGCTAATCAGAGTTTTTTTTGTTTTTTTTTGAAGGTGCTTATCAAAGTTTTTGTTTACCGATGAATGCAATAATGCAAAGAATGTGGAATTTTCTTTAAGATATCTTTGTGTAAACAACTTTGATAACTGCATGGAGATAATGAATAAAGGAAAAAATACAATAAAAGGTACCGCGATTTGTAAATTGGAAAACTTTAAAATCTTCCCACGCAACTTCGTTCGATTTTCTTTCATAACTAACTAATTGTAACGTAGTAGTAACACATACGCACCGTACGCACATATTTTTATTATTATCGTTCTCGTTATCGTTATTGGTGTGGAATCTTTCCAGAGGTGTTACACGGAATATCACGTTTATTATAACCCTGCATTTGTTTATCGAACTATTT